GATGCACTAAACAACTTTATACCGTTTAAAACAAGGCAGGGGCTAGCAAAGAAAAACACAACATTTGGTGGTACGCCTACGCTTGCTATTTGAAGTCATCAGTTGCTGCAAGGTGCTCTGTCTTATTCATATTGCTAATCTATATTATCCTTTTGTTTAAGACACGTGCCAATCCCATACATCTCAAAGCATCGAAATTGCATTGTTCCGTGTACGTCAGGAGCAGGCGATGTGAATATTTAAAACTAGAACTGGAATAGATGTAGTCCACAGCTTCATGGCAAAGCTTGATTAGCGTATTAGTAGTGCCATGAATTGTACACCTAGATTACGTATTCCGAGGCAACCCATTGTGGCTCTTTGACAGGATCTAAAACTACCGAATCTGGCTGTTTGATAATAATCATGAGTCATAATAACTATGCAGTGACGTAGCTAAGGCTAGTGTAGTCAGGGCCGGCCAAGATTTTTGCCGCCACCCTTCCACGAAAAGAATCCGCAGTTGACCGAAAATGCCATCTTCGTGTATATATATATATATATAAAGTAAAAAAAAAAATAAAAATAAAAAAGGCCGCCTGCCCTCCTACGCCCCGGTAACCATGTTTCGTAATCTTGTTTGTACCGGTATAGGAATATTTCGAGCTTGGTACATTGCTGTATTACCGTTGCAGCCACAATGGAAAATAAGACCTCTCATTTTTTCCTTAGTTAATTTATGCAATAGAACAATTCTTTTCCCAACCCGACGAGATGGATCTGAATAGAACAGAGTACCTGTCGGGGGATATACAAAAATAATACAATAATATATTTGAGAGAGAGAGAGAGAGAGAGAGAGAGAGAGAGAGAGGGAGAGAGAGAGAGAGAGAGAGAGAGAGAGAGAGAGAGAGAGAGAGGGGGAGAGAGAGAGAGAGAGAGAGAGAGAGAGAGAGAGAGAGAGAGAGAGAGAGAGAGAGAGAGAGAGAAACGAGACCGAGAGAAAAAGAAAGCGTGAGAGATTAAAGAGAGGACCGAGAGCACTGACTAGCCATAAACTAATGGTCCACACACAAGTACAATGGATTGAGAAGTGGCTTATTGGCTATCAACAGTTTTTATAAAACTCGATCGATCTTCTTCTCACATTGACTACTTTATGCTTTGGATTCGATCATTTCTGCCATTGATTATTTGAACTCCCTTTATTTACTGTGACCATTTGGACGATGGTTCAATAGAGAATGGGAAAGGCTTTGGTCTAACATCGTGACCTGGTGCAAGAATCTAATCAAACCCAATTACTCGCGGAGATCAGTCCATTTATTTGCTATGGTTGGGTAAGGATGGGTTAAGTAGTAAACAAACTCAACTGATGGACTTGGGAATGCACAGCGTCTTGGGGCATGTTTAGGTTGCTGTCTGGTGTTTGGACGCTTTGGGGTGGGGTGAGGGGAATATGCCCTGGCGTCCTTTTAAACAATGCCCATGGCCTGTCTTGTACTAGTTAATCGATTTATTCTAATTCTAAGGGCTCAAAAATTGAGTAATGCTGTTTAATTAATCATGACCAACTATGGCACATGTCCTACAACACACTTGGAACTCTAGCCCCTGATTCAGTCCTACCACACACTCGATCTCCAGTTCTAATTTTCAGGGCAAAGGTACGTAGTGTAGACACTGACAGATACAAACTAAATCCACACACAAGAGTTTAAAGGTCCTGTAATTTAATCAACAGCTTATTATTTATACAAATGTTTTTTTTTTAAACATTTCACATACCGGTACAAGACACAAACCAATATTGAAATATTCAAGTTGGAAAAAAATTGGAACATTTATGCACATAGCCACCTGCAAGTGAAAACACGTGATATCCACTATCACCTCTTCTATTCTGATACAAATTAAGATTTCAGCACGAGCACATCCCATGTTCCGAGTCCCGGTCCCCAGGGCAAATATTTGATTCTTTTAAGTCGGGAGGGGTGGGGGGAATGCGCCAAACAGATTTCTCCGCCACAACTTTTTCTCTGGTTCCTGCCCTTCCTAGCTTTCTGAACTTCTCTCTGTCTATTCACCACCGTGGGACGCTTCATTCCTCAGCAGACACGCATATTCTTTCTGTTCCAAGAACACGCACTTAATCATACTGTGAACGATCGTCCTCTTTCTGTGCCCCAAAACAATGGAATTCTCTCCCGTTACTCATCTGCTAAATACCACCATCCCATCATTCATAGCTGCCCTCGAGACCCATCTCTTCTAACTCTACTATACCGACTCGTTCTCACATCTCTCCCCCCCCCCCTGATGAACAACGCTCAATGATGCTGGGTGCTGTCCCTGGCTAGACAGTACTTGGGTATGTGAGGTCAAGCTTTTTACAAATTGTTTTTAAATGTATAATTTTCTGTAATTGCTAATTTTTAGGTGAAGCAGTGAGCCTAGCCCTAGGGTACTGCGCTATATAAAACCACCTTAAAATTTAAACAATAATAATTAATTTTTAAGCACTTGCTTGGTAACTAGTTGTAATGAAGCCTTCAACGCATCGAAATGTGTGGAATATCAAGATATGAGCGAATAAACACGATTCTAGCAGAAAAGAGAACACTGTGACATTATTAACACATAGGAATAGCACAAGAAAACAAATCAGATTGGCAAGTTTATCAAAGCAATTGTTCATATGTACATGAGGAACACACACTTAAATTAATAACATGAGATTTTTAAGGGACCAAACAGAACGCTCCAGAAGATAAAATTCTGCCGTCTCTTGTGTCTGACAAAACATTAGGTGGTGTATGATGACAAAACATTAGGTGGTCTATGATGACAAAACATTAGGTGGTGTATGATGACAAAGTCCAAAGGAAACGTCATACCAGAAAATTATAATATAAAAATGTTTTTAAAATAATTTTCTTCAAAAAAATGTATTTATATTATATTATACGGTCTTTTTAAAAACCTGTATTTTTAAAAAAATAAAACTAAAATGTCCTTGACTTTGTTTTCTCCAAGAGCTTGTGAATTTGAACCATCCACATTTTTATCAGGTAATCTTTCGCTTTTTATACTCATGAATTTACAACTCCAAATTCCTGTCAATCTAAAATACAAATGAGCAGCAATAATTTTCCCTGACACCCTTATCAAACAGTGTAGAATATGGAAGTACTTATATTATAGAGTACAGAGAATCAACTACTAACTTCATACTATGTACGTTCAATTTTCCCCCAATCGACACACAAGCTTATAGTTTCTAAAAAAAATAATAGATGTCATACCTGGAAAGGTCAGTTCTTCAAGATACCATACAACTTCAACTAGCCTATACAGCACTTGCTGATACGAAAAGTAAGGTAGACTATTTGATACATAAATTAAAATGTTCTTCAGAATTATTTTTTTTCATGCTCATAACATAAGTTATATATTCTTAAATCAGTTTAGTAAAGGAAACCCAACATATGCTGACATGGCAATACTCTCTTTTTTTACTTTCAATGTTCAACAACAAAATCTCAAATTCATTTTTTTTAAACTACAACCATCTTCCAACAAGCTTTTTCATGTCTCATTAACATACATTTAAGTGTTGCATTGCCTTGTAGGATTGGAGTTTTTCTCTAATGAAATCATTTCTAGCACTTAAAAATCCTGCAGGAAGGAATAAGACATTTCCATTTCAATTCATGATTCAAATGAACATGTAGAAAGCTCTTTGTAGAATAATCAAGTTTCATAAGTCTGACAGGAGCTTGAATATTTGACACAAGACATCTGATCAGGGTAGGCATGTGAAAGTACACAATCAAATGCTTCACTTTCTGGACTAGAGTCTTCTTCATGTTACACAAGGTATTCAATGAATGGCTGAAGTTTTTTGAAATATTCCTGAGACAGCCTCATGTCCCTGCAAACGATAAGATAAAGATATTCAAAGGTAAGCATATGTAATGATTAGACCCATCAAATATTTAAATGGCCATAAGTTTAAATTTTTTCCTCATGAACTATCACATTTGAATTTACGGGCATGCCACTGAAAAATAGCAGGGGGCCCCAGTAAGGTAATGCCACAGCTCTGGTAATTACTGATACAAATAAAATTGAAGTAATGCATTCATAAAATCCTTTAAGGAAATTTAGATTTGACAATGTGAACAGAAAATTTAAAAAATAATTTTCAATCAACTGTAATGGGAAAGACTGGCTACAATACTTCCTAACCCCTTTTTAAACTGCCATAATTAAACTCTAATTCAGTGGTTCCCAAATTTTATTTCCCAGCAGACCCCTTTTTTGAATCAATTTCTTTAGAGAAGCCCCTTGACAAACTTAGGTCTTAAAATAGTGTTTAGGAGCGGCCGTGTTACTCCTGAGTACAGATTGGGAACCACTGCTCTGTTTAAGGGCTTTATAATAAAGTTGCATCAACTGCAGTAGTTTCCAAATCCACATACTTATTTGATACAATTCTATTAGCTGCATCAAGACATCAAACATTTTCAGGATGAAGCTAAACGAGATGAGAACTGCTTTCATAAAATGATTAACTAATAAAGGGATCATTATTATAAAAACAACATCATACTCTAAGTGCGGTCTGTAAGTATTGACAAGGCGATAAATGGCAGCTTTGTTCACAGAGTGCAACTTGAATCTTAATAAGGCATCTGATGGAGTGTCATGGTTCCCATTAGTTCGTCTAAGAACACTTGTTGTCAGTTTAAAATGCTTCTCCATCACCTGTTGAACATTTTTGAATATCTTAATCATTTTTAAAAAAAAATCTTTCGTCCCAAAATGTTTGTTAAAACAAAATGATTACAAGAAAAATGAACAAGTAGACTGAAGCAGTTACTGAATATCTCAGATATCTGACTTCATTAGTTGAAAATGGCTAAAAAATTTTGATGTGATAAAAAGATAGCTACCTCATGAAGGTCCAACAGAATAGAAAACAAAGTAGGCAGTGCACTTTGCACAACACCATACTTGTCCTCTCTTAGTGACTTGGATGCTACAAGTGAGACAGCTGGAAAGAAAATATTAATAATAAATAACCTCCGAAGCTAATATAAGTCTATATTGGGGAGCAACCAGTTCAGTAAGTAACCCATTCCATGCCAAGAAACCTTTTCTTGATGTGGGGAGACATTTATACAAATTATATCCGATGAGAAAATAGTTTAGGAGCAGCATTCCATTATAATTATAGAGCTCTTGATTGGTTAAAAAAAAAAAAAGTCTCATCTATTCCTCAAAGAACAGAATCTAACTGCTGCATGCCGCCAACCCAAGGATCAGTCCCCAATCTAACTGCTGCATGCCGCCAACCCAAGGGTCAGTCCCCAATCTAACTGCTGCATGCCGCCAACCCAAGGATCAGTCCCCAATCTAACTGCTGCATGCCGCCAACCCAAGGGTCAGTCCCCAATTATATTAGCGAATTAATCAAAAACAACAAAGCAAAAATTAAGTTATTTTATAAAAAGCAATTTTGATTTTTTAAAATTATTTGTCCCAAGTTTTCTTCTTCTGGAAGTTACTTTATCAAAGTCTATTATTTTAGTTAAATTAGTACCTTCAATGGCCCAAATCTGTAACTGACAGGAAGCAAATAAACTTCTACTACTTGTGTCTGGATATTCTGCTAAAATTTGAGAAATCAATGGAAGACTACTAACAGCTGACAGAGACTGGGGAGAAAAATGTCAAGATTCTTGGTTACACTGATACAACATGTCCAGAGACTCACACACGGCTGAAACTAACCAAACCATTGAAAACTGTGGTTGTACTCAGATGCTGATAATCAGTCTTAAGTTTTTAAACATCAATCTCCACAGCATATATTTCTTAAGCGCATAATATATGACAAAGAAATGTCAGTTACATGTAAAATGACAAATGAGAAAATGTGAATATTACCTTCGCTAGAAATGATGAGCTTTTATGTTCCTCTTCTGAACTATTTAACATTTCTGTCAAAAATAAAATATGCACACAATTTATTTATTTTAAACAAAGCATTATGCTAATGAACAATAAGACTTTCATTCTACTAACAGATAGTAGTCTACGTAAATTTTACTTTTGATCCAGTATGGAAGTAAAATAGTCATGAGAAAGGTAAGTGCCGTAACATCTAAAATATGGTTTATACCTGAAGACTCAGTGCCAGTGACTCTATGACTCAAAGAGGATGCCGTATCTCCTGCAAGAAATATGGACATAAATCTTTTTAAACCCTTGTTTGAAGTACAGCCATGCCTTACTTAATTTACGTTTAGTCAGTGCACAGCACTTAGTTCTAAAATATGTTGACGTCACTCAAAGCAAACTTTTGATGTCACTCAAAAATCCTAAACACCTCACATGATTACAGATATGTGTAAAAGATAAATATTGTAAGTGAATAAGAAAATAAGCAAAGCAAAATTAGTGCAGTCAAACATTTTTTAGACCTAACTTAAGAAGGAGGACTTAGGGATGATTTCTGTAATTGCCAGACATGTGGACCAAAGCCAAGAAGCAGTTGTAACTGATACATAAGATTTAAGTTACATTTTAAGTAAATACCCTCTCCTGGAGAAATCTTACCTGTAACTTACTTAAATTACAATAAATATTAAAGCTATTTATCTGAAATGAAGGAGACCTATGTTTGGGCCTACCTGAAAGTGTGTGTGAAAATCCTGAAGACTGGCTAGAACTTTTATGAGCATTTACTGAAACCTTTGACATAATTGTCCCATTTTCTTTCTTAACTAGATCATTCAGTTCTCTAATGACACCAAATGCGACCCCACTGACAGACAACCAGATTCTTGGATGACCACCAGGTTGACTAAGGCTGAGCAGCTCTTGCCGCCTTGTGTGTGAAAATTTTGACAAACAGCTCAAATCAAGAAAAGCCAGGTGCTGAAAATGAATTTAAAAAGTTAAAATGTATAAAAAAAAAAAAAAAAAAAAAAAAAAAAAAAAAAAAAAAAAAAAAAAAAAAAAAAAATAAAAAAAAAAAAAAAAAAAAAAAAAAAAAAAAAAAAAAAAAAAAAAAAAAAAAAAAAAAAAAAAAAAAAAAAAGAAGATCAATAAGATTTTAAGAAAAAATATAAGAAAGTGAAATGAACATTAAGTACTCAGTAAATTGGACATATTTTAATCATATTGCCTTGTCCACAATTATCACAAACCTGTAAGAGAGGGCTTGACATACAAGCCAGAGCTTCAGAAAGAGTTATGTCCTTGTCCTGCTCCAGTACAGCGGCCATAGCAAACTCTGTAGGCTGAAGTTTAAATTAAAAAATAAGGGAAAATCTACATTTAAATTTTTAATCTTGATTGTTATTCCATGTAAAGGAACACTGGATTCATTTCAGAGAGAAAAAAACTGACAATTTGTTTAATATTGTTGTTAAGACAAAATCTCTACCACTACAAAATATGAGATCAAAGTAAATAAATAAGGGAATTAAATAATTAATGTGGTATTTCAAGACCTGCTCACTTCAGTGTAAAAAACTCTGGTCATTGTCCTTGCCAAAGAAGTTGTAAAGACAAGTAAAAAAGTACAAAGGTAGGTTTGCCAGAGGAGGGACAGGTTGAATATGCCTAGCAGGGAATTGATTGGTGGTACCTCGGGGCTGATGAAAAGATAAAACTTCATTAAAATACGTATAAAATAATTGCAACAGAGAAATGTTTAGGAGTCAGCACAAAATAATTTTTTTATATTTATACTTAATAGCTAAACGTCAATGTTCAGCATTGCAAGAAATAATGAATAGTTTCAAATGTTCACATAACAAAATAATTTCCCAAATTAACTTAACATAAAACAGTATTAAAAGAGTAACATTAAACACATCGTTGCATATGATATATATATATATATATATATATATATATATATATATATATATATATATATATATATACTATATAGAAAGAGCACACATGTCAACACCAGACACTTTAACTTAACATAAAACAGTATTAAAAGAGTAACATTAAACACATCGTTGCATATGATATATATATATATATATATATATATATATATATATATATATATATATATATATGTAGATTCCAATCCAATATTTTACATAAATTGTTCTCTTGTTGTATACATACATGATGTTAAATTTACAAAATCATCTGATCATTAAGATTATCTATATTTTTAATTAAATAAACTAACTTTGTGGTTATACCAAATGAGCCACTGATCCAACGTTTGAATAGATTTCCTAAAGTAAAAATATAGAAAAATATTAAATCGCAGAAAATTGATAGCAAATTGGTATTCCAGACATGTTTTTTTAACATATAAGACAGTTAGGCCTACATAACATACCATATTTTAGACGTGATATTTAACTCTTGTTAGACGTTTAAAATTAAAAGAGTTATACAATAAGTAGTTAGCACTTACACCACAACAAACACTCTTGGAAGTTAGAATTAAATGTGTATAAATGTTTCTGGGTATTGTCATATATTTTGGACAAAAATTGGAAATAATAAGTTTGCCCATCAGTTTCAGTAACGGAATTTAAACAGCATCAGTTAAAAAAAAACTTAAGTGATCAAAATTGTAAATTTGATATGTACAATGTACCATTTCTTTTCAATTTTATGCCCCTGCTTTTAATTTAAATCAAACAAAATGTTTGTTTTTCAATAAAAACGAAAAGACCAAAAATTTCTAGCTTATCAACTTACCAAACATAAAATAAAAGATGTAAAAGTATTTAACAACATGGATACTTTGCCAGCAAGTTGCATGCAGAAGAACCATAGATTCATATCTCACTCTAAATGACTTTGATCTCTACAAGGAAATAATAATGTAGTAATTATAATGCATGCAGCAATTATCAATCAATAGAATTCTCTATGTATGAAGGAAAAAATGGTGTAATGGTGATTTTAAGAGAGCGCAAAACAAAATTCCTGATAACTTGATAAAATGAGATTCTTAAAAATACTTAATCGCATTTGATGGGTAATAATTTCTATTGCTTTACGGGAAAAGTTTATGTAGTGTATGAGTATTTAAGCATGGAAATGAAATATAAAGATACAGTACAGCTCAGTGATCTAGTTTAGTAACTATTTCATACTTGCACATGGGGAAAGGAAAGATAATATTGTTGTTGTTGGAAAAACATCCAGTAGCAACAAAAGCCAGCAAAGGTTGCAGCTAACACCAGGAAAACATGAGGTTCATTTAACACCTTGGATTCACTGCAACAAAGACAGAAGAACTAATAAGAAATTATACAAAATAACTTCATTTTTAGTTAAACCAAGGATTCAGCATTTCTTCACGATGACAGGTATCAATATATATTTATTTTTAAAAAATCATGTAATCAGTGAAGGATAAACAAAACAGTAGCTAATTAGGCCTGTTAGTAAAGAGTGAAGAATCTTTACAGACATTCTTTTAAGCTAAGTTGATTAATATTAAAGTTAACTAAAAAATTCCTACTATGTCTCTGTGTTTAAAACTGTGGTTAGCGTGCCGTACTCATCCCCAATGAGCCAAGCTAAGCTCCATCCAGCTACTGCTCCTGTTTCTATACTGGCTACCAAAAGTGGAAGACGAGACCAACGGAAAAGGGCCAAATTTGACGATAAAACTGTTTTATTAACTTCAGCTGCAACTGAAACAGAGATATTACTACCTGTAACATAATTATATTTGATGTCTATTTAGTGTTGAGTAGAAATCACTATTCCATGTGAGAGTAGGAATACAAGTATCTAATTATATGTAGTAAGGAACTATATTAGTGGCCATATTGGAAAGCAGTTAAGATTTTTCTCAATAGTGAAGATATGTAGTGTAGGAGTGACTTGACATATTATTTCTAAAGGGAAATTGATTTATGGTGAACTAATTTTTATTAATATTCTAATCAGCATCATATGTGAATCGAGACAATACATTATTTTATTATCCTGTTAAATATTTCTTTAAAAAAATAAATGACGTCTGAAAATCTTGACTTTGTATTAATTCAGTAGAATGGAGCAAGTGAGAAAATTTGTTAACCTGATCTGATTTCAACTTAGATAAAATCGCTCAGGTCATTCAGACTAGTTACACAAGTATCAGTAGAGGTTACACTACCATATTCTATTGTCTTTTTTATGTTAAAATGAGAATAAAATAATGTCCAGATAAAATAGTTATTATTTTTAAGTACTGGGTACCATAAACCTTTGTATATACATATTTTTAATCACCAAATGTTTTATTTTATAATGTTCAACTACTTTCAATGTAATTTTTAAAAAATGCAAATTAAATAATTCTTATAAAGATTGAGCTATGTTATTTAAACACATCAAAATATACAACAAAAGTAAAAATATGATAATTAACATTCGAGTTCTGATATTAAATTTCAAAGTTTGAGTAGTGCATCCAAAGTAAAAGTGTAGCACTTAAAAAGCTTACCTGAAAAGTGAGGGAGGGTGAACATCGTTAACACCACTAAACAAATGCTATTTATAAGCACAGCAAGCCAGAATCTTGAATTTAAAAAAAATACTGAACTATCTGAAATAAATTGTTCCAAAAAATTTGCTGTTACAAAGAAATGTTAGAGGTACAAAGATCTCTTGGTCTAATTTTAATAATATGTTTATCCTTTACCTATTTGAAAATAAATTTGTATTTTTCTGAAAACTTTTAATGCATTTGAATTAGAAGCACAAAAAAGGAAGATATAAAATTATTAATTTCATACATACCAGAAAACCATTGAAAAGGGTGAATGGCTGAAAATGTTGACAAAAAAATAAAAGCCATCAAAACAACCGGCATGAAAATCACAGACCAGCATATGCTTGCTAATCTTCTCCAAAAGTATACCTGTAGAGAAGCATAATAAAATTTTAGATAATAAATTTCTACACTCCACATTTTAATTGTTAGGCTTGGAATTTCTTTAATGACTGTGTAGTCCTTTTCAACTTATCTTAAATTTTACTGTTTTTAAGGTGGCTGTAAGCATTCTATCACTGAGACACAATTGAAGAGTAAGCAAAAAGGTAAAACTTAGAAAACAACATTACTTAATTTAACAGATAATTTCATTGTCTACTCAATAAAGAACATTATGAGTAGAAGTAGAAGTTGATTAACTTAGTTGGAGGTCTTTCATCTTAATACCAATTGTAAAAGCTCGGCTTTAGTATTCATTGGACCTATGCAGTTAAGACTAAACTAAAGATTAAGAATAGTACAGGCCTAATGAAATTTACACCAAATCATAGTTAATATCAGAGCATCTTTTTTGCTAATCTAACAGGACATAAGAGTAGCCAGAAGTAGAAGTAACAGCTTAATAAAATAATTTATTAATTAAAAATGTTGTTAATATCTTTTTTACGCGCCATTATATGGTTTTGCAAATTTGATCTGTTTTAAGATTTGGCTAGTTAGGTGAAAAATGCATAACAAGGAACGCTTGTTAGGTGAACAATGATTTAGCTAGGTACACTGCGGCGGTGTACGTAGTGCCGGCCATAAAACAAGCATTATATTTACTCAGTGCCTTGCCATTTATCACGTTTGGGAGAGAGCTCTTTTTTTTTATACTAAATGAAGAGTTTGCAATTTAACATGGAGGATGGGCATACACCACATTGGGGGTTAATTAATTTGAAAAGTTGTGGGGTGGGGAGGGGGGGGGCAGACATTTACTGAATTAATCTTTGGCGGGAAATGTATACTTTTAGGTGCCTAACTGTGGCCTAGTGTTATTTTTATGCACGTTATCTGCCTATTATAGTTATATGGCCTAAAAAAAGTCCTTTAGAGACCTGATTTGTAATATATTGTGGAAATTCGATACAACTGTAGAGGCCTACTAAATTGTAAATGAAATGGGGGGGGTTGTGAGAGATTGAAAAAATTATTATATTGAATGTGATCCCGCGGGCTGTGGCGTAAAAATGAACGGGAAGCCATTGCATCAATTTTATTAAGTCTAAGATATAATTAAAATGTGATCCCCTTCTGGGAATTGATCCAAAATATGATATCGACAAGCATCTACTCCACCATAAGACCACACAAGAACATATGCAAGAGGAATATCTAAACCAGGCCAATTGCCAATGGTACATTTTTGGCGCTGTGTACACTGGCCTAAGTCCATGGTTTTGCTAGGTACAATGGTGTGGTGCACACAGCCACTTCGTTGTTTTATTTAAGTTTGGCCATTCTGGGTATTTTGAGTAGAAGAGACGTAAACAATTGCTGCCCTCTACCTCTGGGATACTACAACTTCAACCAGTGTTTCTTTCAGAAATTTTCCCCCGGAGGGGCACTCAGATTTTTTGGTGGGGGGGGGGGGGCAGTGCCAGCAACTCCAGTTGATTTATTGTTGGATATATGTTTGCCCCAGGGGGGGCACGGCGCCCCCCCCCCCCCGAGATATAGCTGAAAGAAACCCTGACTACAACTACTCTTTGGCTAAGTTACTTTTTATTTTATTCTGTTTTTTTCTGTTTGTTAGCCGATGAAGGCTTCCTGTCAATACATTCGTGATTTTGTTATGTTCCTTTTCCAGGTTTTCATATACTTTGTTTTACTTATTTCCTTTTATGTTAACGGAACCTGTTTGCAGTGCTCCCTCCCCCCATTACCACGACCAGGGGCATCACAACACCGTAGCCGTAAGCTCAAGTCAAGCAATCATCAGGCTTGCCTTGCCTTTTTTTGCGGGGCGGGAATTCGTTAATCAACCATTACTATACCTGCTCGATACGCCTCACAAGTAAAATCGGACAGCAGAAGAAGTATTAGAGAAAAAATATATAATACAGCAATTTTCACCTCTGAATGAAACCAATTGTACACCGCCATGGCCATATTGTAAAATCGCGTCCGCTATAATAGCTTGCACATTCACTTGTTTACACTTTAAACTCATGCGCCATGACAATTGTTTTAAAATGCGGAGTTCCGGTTAGGGTTGCCAGATGAAAAATGTATAAAATGTCAAACCAAAGCATAAAAAAAGGAACAACAAAAAATACCCAACTCTTTAAAACAGGCCTGCACAACTCAACATGTAAAGCGGGCCGTACTACTTTATGAAAATCTTGTGAGGACCAAAAGAAAATAGGACAGGTCTTGTGTGGGCCAAAGTAAATAGGGGAAAGCTATTAAGAAAATAATAAGAAGAAAGAATATTTCGTTACGTCGCGGGCCGCAAAGTGGGTACCAGCGGTCCGCATGCGGCCCGCGGGCCGTATGTTGTGCAGGCCTGCTTAAAAAAATAATATATATATATATATATATATATANATATATATATATATATATATATATATATATATATATATATATATACATATATATATATATATATATATGAGAATGAGCTAGAGTAATGAATTAATTGAAATAGATTCGGATTCATAGTGTATTCTATTATTGTACGGAACTCAAATAAATTTAAATGCTCGAAAAATAAAATATATCACCTTTTATTTTAGTATATGTTTAAGTATTATTAAAAGTTACAAATACATTAAAAACAACAATTAAAGAACTGAATTTTGTCTGAATTTGAAAATTATGATTTTTTTATCAATAAATTATGATATCGGAATTATTTTTGTTAAATCATAATTATCACATTTAGTGTATCCGGAAAACCCAACAAACATTTAGGCCCTATTGTTTTTCTTGCGTTGTTGTTTTTGTTTTTTTGGGTTTTTTTTAATAGAGATTTAATCAAAATTAATTTTAATTTAAAGACTCCAAACAATATCGAAGTAAAATGTACGATTGAACTCAAACAAAATGTTGATTAATTTCATAAGAGTTAATTTAATTTTGCAAATCAAGAGCTTTAAGTTTCTATGATTTAAAAACCACGACTGACAAAAACGATAATGATAATATAACTTAACATTTAAAAATACTTTTAATTAGAAAATGCCGTTTAAGTGAATTAGTGCAGAGAAACCCCTTAGGCAAATATCATTAATTAATTTATCACGCATCTAAATAAGTATTTTTTTTTAAAAACATACGAATTTACAATTGGTTCATTTTGATATATATCTAAAGACCCAAAAATATGACAGATTTGAACTTTGGTATAGTATAGATTATAAAGTTCTAATATATAACCACAATATTTTCTTATTAGCGTAATATTTGGCATGAAAACATAATACTAGTTAGAAAACCTTTTGTTCAAGATGTTCCCACTTTTTTGGCCCCTCTGTATATATACATCTATACATATATTTATACACACACGCACACACACACACACATATATATATATATTTGGCATGAAGAATCGATTATTGTTTAATGTTATCAAAAACGGCTGGACACATTCTTCGGTACCTGCATCCAACGATGGGGACATCGTCATCGCTTGCAACTGTGTTGAACATCAAACTCAATGTATTGTGCCCAAAAAGATGGCATTGAGTGTAGAGCGTAGATGCATGTAGAGTGTAAATGCATGTAGAGTGTAAATGCATGTCGAGTGTAGATTATGCAGAGTGTAGATTTATGTAGACTATAGGCATGTAGAGTGTAGATGTATGTAGTGTGTAGATGCATATAGAGTGTGGATGTATGAAAAGTGCAGATTTATGTAGAATGCATAAGTATGTAGAGTGTATTTGTATGCAAAGTGTATATGTATGTAGAGTGTAGAGTTATGTAGAGTGTAGAAGCATGTAGAGTGTAGATGCATGTAGAGTGTAATTGTTGATAATTGTAGCATAGTTTCTAGTTACTATCATCTTCCTAGGGAGTAGCCAGATGTTGTTCTATCGTAACAATGGGCATAGATTTATCATATTCATCTTGCGGAACTGATATACCAGACAAGTCAACATCCTCCTCATCTAACCATTCAGCACTTAAAATAGAATAATTGTCAGTGTGAGAAATAATTGCCATTAGCTCTCTCTGTCTCCTGGCAGCTACTTGCATTGGTCGAATCCTTTTCTGTTGAGGAGCAGGTGGTAATTTCTTATGCATTGTCGGTGATATTGAACTTGCTATTTCAACAAGACTATTGATGCAAAATAGAGGTTACAGATTTTGCAAATCCGTTCAAGCAGAGATGCTACTATTGTTACTCTCTTTACTTTCCCCTAATTCTCAAAATATCGTATTCATACTCTATCAATACCAATTATCTTGACCGCACATGACTCTTGAACCTTGCCCTTGTTTCATACCTGCAACATGACCGCAAACATACCACCCTAGTTATTTGCCACAAATAGAATCTACAGTCGAAGAGAGGCCAACTTTTGACTTCTCTTGCATTAAATAAATGAGCTAACATTCTGACCAGCCATCAGCAGTGCACAGACACACAATAAATAAATCTTATATTGTTAAAAGCCTAAGCACTATATAACTATGTAATAACCAGTCAATTTTTTAAAATAAAAAATTGATAGAGAAAACATGATTGTTAACTTCAACTAATATAAACACCCCCACCCCTTTTCCCCCTTTTCAACAACTGTCAAACATTTCCACCCCTCCCCTATTTTGTTGACATAATTAATGGCCGACCCCTTTGCTGATTTGGTAAGATTTGAAAACTTGAATAATATGCCATATGTTGACTTTTTTTTGGTCCCAACGTTAAATTCATACATCAAATCCCGGTTCTCTATTTCAAATCTACTCCACGTTTCCTCACATGTTCAGGAAATTGAACAAAATTGAGAGCGCCGATAACGTGCATTCAAACGTGACCCGAAGAGATTATCGAACCATTCACAATCGACCTGAGATCAGTTTTAACTGATAGTTGAGCTCAGGGGTTCTAAATTATTTTCGTTTTACGACCGCTCCCAAAGATGTTGAAATGCATATCCACCGTTACCCCGACCATACGATGTAACATTAAAATTCCCGTGCAGAGTTTCGTCTCACGCATCTTCTGCCTTTTTGACTCCTTCATGCACTGCTGTTCGCCTGCTGGAACGTTGTTCGGCAATGATCTCCCAATCGTTGGCTTCCCTCGCGCTTCTTTCGCAGACGTCCATCAATCGCAGCCGTGACCGTCCAATGAGTCAACCCCCTGCTGCCAACTCTCCAATCAGCAGATTCTTTGGAATACGGACTTCCTCCATTGCCCTTACATGGCCTGACCAGCGAAGGCGCTGCTTGCTAAGAACGGAGCATATACTACACATTTTTGCACGTTTCAAGACCTCTGTGCTAGGCACTTTGTCCTGCCATCGAATGCGTAAAATGCGACGTAGACAGTGATGCAGCAACTATAGCTAATTTTGAATATGCGGATGTGTTAAACTAACTGATGGTACAAAACTAAGCATATTTCAGGCACGTATGCTTCGTATCTTCTGCTATATCTTGAGGGCCCACGATCAATTTATTGATCATTCTGGCTCCTATGCATGAGGAGGGGATTTGCAATGTTTCTGTACCTGGTGTTGGTGAGGATATTTCACTGGTTGCAAGGGCTGCTTAGTGAGGGTTGCAAGGGCTGCTTAGTGAGGGTTGCAAGGGCTGCTTAGTGAGGGTGTCATGCACTGGGGGCTGGAAGGCCTGACACGATTGACGCAAATGTGTCAAGTGTTGTCTAAAATTCCGTTAATATAAAGTGTTTATGAAGAAATGCTCAATATTAAATTTTCACGTGTGTAAAATTATTGGGTCTTGATATTCTTGGGTATACTTATGTAACTTTACCCACGCTTTGTTAACGCCATTAGTTGCTAAACATATGTTTATTAGTAAAAAATACTCTAAACATCTCTTTTTCACGACTGTAATATCATTGGATTTAAAGATATCATTTACGTAAAAATGTGCTCACCCTTTTTTCCTACCCCCGATATATGTACCTCAGAGGAGTAATTATTTATCAAATTCATTACTTTATTCTGAAGCGTATTTTGTGCTGCAAGGGGCTAAATGAAAGTATCGACAATCCCCCCCCCCCCACCACCACCACAGATTTTAACAAAAATTAATAAAAATCATCCACAGAATGGTAGCCCCTTACGTACGCAAAACAAGTCCCTGAAATTAATTTAAAGTCCCAGATCCCTTTAACCACACATTGTTGTTTATATATATATATATATATATATATATATATATATATATATAAATATATATATGTGTGTGTGTGTGTGTGTGCGTGTGTGTGTGTGTGTGTGTGTGTGTGTGTATAAATATATGAATAGATGTATATATACAGAGTGGCCAAAAAAGTGGGAACATCTTGTAACAAAAGGTTTTCTAACTGGTATTATGTTTTCATGCCAAATATTACGCTATTATACTGTACAACAATGTGTGGTTAAAGGGATCTGGGACTTTAAATTAATTTCATGGACTTGTTTTTGTTCATCATACCTACACAACCTGAAATTGACCGGGGAGATGGTTTACACTTGTCCAAAAAAAGTGTGACCCACTTTATGGATGCCCCTAAGGTGCCCTCGCATTAGAAAAAGCCCAGCTTCGACCACGGAGACGCTAAAATTGTTTAAAGATTATACAATAAATTGAAATACTTGCAAATGGTAAAAAAAAAAAAATATTTTACAATGCCAGCCAATCCACATTATTAAAAAAAAGAGACACTAATTTTAAAAAGTCGGATCATGTAATATTTTCTTCTAAATAATTAGAACTGCGGAAACTAAATGTTTCCTTAGAGTTATTAAGAATCGACCTAAAAACTGTGACAGCAGCCGAGAAATGGAGCTAATTTTAATTTTTAACATTTGTTTTAAAACACATTTGAATAAAGTATTGACATGTGAATTAGCAGAAATCGATTATCCTTCCTATTTCCACGACCAATACCACCCACCCCACCCCCGCGACTCACACACAAAGC